TGTCAATACATGTAAAAAGTTGCCGTTAACACATTTATTTATTCAAATTGTCTATTTAATTATCCATTATCATATAGTCATTTTAAAGCAAATTATAAATTCACAATTGTCCACGATTTTATTGGCATTGGCTATTCCAGGTATATTTATTGAATTCTAGGAAAACGTGTATTTTGTCTCGAATGGTCAACCGACAGCGTCGACCATATAAAACTCGACCTATGACTCAACAATGTATCGATATATTTATTTAACGACCTATTTAATTTATTATATCTTCTTTTGTTCGTCTATTCTATCTGTTTGTACGCCTGCGTGTGCCTGAGTTTGTATATTTGTAATTTTATAACAATTATTCTAATAAATTTTATTCCTAATGAATTCAAATCTTATGTTTTGCAATTTTATTTTATTTTAAATTTAAGAAAAAATTTTACTATTAAAAAATAATAATAATAATAATAATAATAATAATAATAAAGAAAAAAAAGGAATAGAAAGAAGAAAAAAAATCCCATACCCATCAATCCGATCGTTAAATTATTTCGTATTAAAATAGTTGAAGAAAGATGAGAATAAAACATGAGCTTAAGTTCGACTTGTAATTAATGAAATTGGCGTAAATTAAAGCAGCTTATGAATAAGCAGGAGTTGGATGAAAAGGTAAGGATAAAACTCTCGAGGAGTTGCATTATCGTTAATTACCTATGATCGGATTGCATTCCGTTGATATCAGCCCCACCCTCCACGAGTATCCTCACAATATCATACAAGCCGGCATCGACGGCGATGTGGAGTGGGGTATTCAGGTTGTGGTCGGTTACATTAATATCGGCGCCCGCGCTCACGAGCAGCTCCACCGACTTCTCGTTTTGGGACGAGACCGCCAGGTGTAAAGGACTCTGGCCGAGGCAGTTGGCTGCGTTAACGTCTGCCCCGGCCTGGATGAGGCAACCGATGAGCCCGGGTTTGTTAAAGTCCGCGCAAGTAAGGGGCGTTTCGTCCCGGTCGTTCTTGGCCCTCACGTCGCAGCCAATCTCTAGGAGAGCCTTCGTCACCACCTCGTTACCTACGCAGGCATGCACGTGCAGGAGGCTGCTACCCTGGGAGTCCCGCCAGTTCACCACCGCCGGCAAGTTTCTTACGTTCATTGGGAACTGAAAATTAGATGAGTTAGAACTCATGGATCGGTAACCCTCCTTCCCTCCCAGACACTTGTTGAAACGAATTAGAAATCAGACTATTATTCATGGAGAATTTATGGGCAAAGTGAACGGGCACAGCGAACTATTTAGAGAACAAACGAGATTTTTTTCTAAATATTTTCAAAAATTGCCACAATTTGAACGTATTAAGCTATAAGCTATAAGATACAGTAAATTTCGTAAAAATCGGCAGCTTATTAACCCATAATCTCAGTAAAAATAAATAAATAGATAAATAATTTTAGAAAAATAAATATATAATAATTAAATAGATAATAGATATAAATAAAAAGTATCAATAAATAATGGATAGATAAATAATTTTAGAAAAATAAATATATAAAACAAAACAAAAAAATTTATTATAATGAATAAAGAAATTTATAATAATAAATTGTAGATAAAAAAATAATAATAGATGGGCAGATAATTAATTTTCGAAAAATAAAAAAATAATAGAGCAATAAATAAAGAAATGTTTAAGAATAAATAAATAATACAGATAGATGAAAAATATTAGAAAAATAAATAAATAATAGGTACATAGATAAAAAAATTATAAGAACAAATAAATAATAGAAGAAAAAAAATTTATTCCAATAAATAATAGAGAAATAGATAAATAATTGAAAAGATTTGAGAAAAGTGAAGTTAAAATATGTTGTATGCAGACTTACCATTTTGAAGGAATAAAGTCGAAGGAACTTCAAATTGTTGCAGGACTTCCAAGCTTACAGTTCGACTTGCAGCAGTGATATGAATATTATTTCCAAAATTCAAAGATTATAGCAGCAAATAAATATATAAGGTCTGGGAAGGGGGGGGGGGAAGGAATGGTGCCTATAACTGCATTGTCAAACCCATCAAACGATCCTTTATTTCGTCCAATTATTCTGTAGCATTACCTAAGCCAGGTAGTTGGAGTTTCATAGAACAGGCACTTATAAATTCCTCTATACCTACCTGCATATATATATATATATATATATATATATATATATATATATATATTATAATTGCATCATGTGAATTTAAACTGCGAATGCAATATTAGGAAATATTTGGAATTCTGCCTAATTTACTTTTCTTAAAACTATTAATTTATTCTTCCATTTGCCCATTGTTCACTACGTTACATATTAGGCTTTTCACAACGATATATTCATGATTTATGAACCAGGAAATATTTAATCCACATTTAATTACTTCATTGGAATAATTTTTCATATAAATTCAAACTTGGAATATCTATTGAATTTTAATCAGAGATATGACTAATATTGTGACAGAGAGTCCTCGGCAATGCATAGAAAACGTATATTTTTAACCAGGACATAATTAGTATTTTTATTTGAATAATTTTCATCTTGAGTTTTACCATAAGTTAGATGATTATTATGAAATACATAAAAATGAATAAGACATTTTGTTTTTAATATTCGGAAAAATTCTCCTTTATTCTCTAAATAGCTCGTCGCGTCCAACTATCGCCCATTAATTTCGTCATGACTATTAGTTTGGTATCGGATCACTTACACATACGTATTCTAAGGTATTGAAAAATAATTTACATTAAAAATAGTCAATCTAATTTAATTTTACTAAAATTTTAATAAAAAAAAAAAAAAAAAAAACTTGTATTTACTGGGCTTATTGAAGACGATTATAATTTATTATTACTATATAATTTCATTATCCTGTAACTATAATAATTTTATATACTGTATTATACGTTGGTATAATAACAATATTTATTAACAATTTAAATTCATATTTTTCAATACTACGTAAATTTAACTGTTAAGAATATTACTATTTTATTTATAAACAAAGCTTATGAAATATTCCCATGTATATATCATTAATAATCGTATTCCTGCATGTTCATTAATATTATTAATTTTTTCATAATATCATTAAATATTTTTTATGAATAAATACTGAATAATATCGAATAAGAGATAAGTAAAATAAATCATACGTCAACATTTATTCACATATTTTAAAATTGAATTAATGTCTTTTTATACTTATAGTTTTAAACTGAAACTAAAGAGCAATGAAAAATACGAATATAGAGTATAGGAGTGATATAATAGTTAACGAAAATGAAAATTTTATATTTCCTATGATTTTTTTTTTTTTTTTTTTTTTTTTTTTTTTTTTTGAGGAAAAACAAATTTGTCTAGTTTTTTCTCTCTCACTGTTGATAATATGTAAATAATTAAAAATCCAAATATCGTCTGTAATTGCTCATTCCGACCCTCATAGAAATATTTGTTTTATAATAATTAATAATTAAAAATTAAGCTCTGTCAATGTTATTTAATTAATTGATGCAAAGAATGATGTAATTTAAATTTCAATGATTTTGATACTGAAAAATTGTGTACAAAAATTATACACCGAAATGTCTATGTTGTTGCAATTTTTATAACTAATTAGTTTATTTAATAATCATATACAGAGACTTTTGAAACGAATGAAAATCAATTAAAATTTATATCATCCTAACTATATTTCTCTAAAATATTTACATTTTTTAATTTGTGTATTCTTTGAAATTGAAATTCTGTCTTATTTAAGACGAGAATTATTTCAAATTATATCTCTATTGGTTTGGTTGTTCATATTATTGTGAATAATTTTTTTATAGTGACGTAAATGCTTAGCAATATATTTTTTTTTTTTTTTTTTTTTCATAAGGTATATTTATCTATATAAATAAATAAATAAATTATTATGAGAAAGGTTATGTTTTTTTTTTTTTTTTTTGATTTAAATAAGTGAAAACGAAGATTTACAATGGAAAAATTCTATTTATTATACTTTAGGTCAATTTACATATGTACAGGCTCCTTAATAAATAAAATTTACATTAATCTTATAAATAATGGAAAATCATGAGGATAATCCAGGTATATCGTCTTTATGCAAGTATTGCAGAATCGTTCGAATAATAATATGATTGGGATTTTTAACCGGTAGAGCGTCGCTTAACAATGTCCCAGCAGAATATAAAAACTTGCATCTCTCAATTCCCTTTTGCACTTTATTTTTCAAAGCTAATTTATAAATCGTATAGTCGCTGCCGTAACTACTGTCCTCAAAACATTTTTTAATATTATCATTTCTAGCGTAAGCAGCAATCGTATCTATACTACTGTTCAGTATTTTGAAATAACTGATGCTATTGTAGACCTTGTGCTCTTTCATGCTTTGAAGTTCCCTCTTACAATTTTCAAAATGATTTTTCAGATCGTCCTGCTGTGCGATCAACGAAATATTCAGCTGATTGACGCTAATGCCTTTAGCATATAAATTAGCCAAGTGCTGGATTATAAGATTAATTATTATTCTAGATTTGCGCTTCAATGCCACGTACAGCACCATATCGTGTACTTGGCGACCTTCGTTAATGTCAGCCCCGAGATCCAGAAGAAGCTTGACCATTAATTTCTGCTCATTGAGCGTAGCAAAGTAGATCGGCGTTCTCATGTTGATGTCCTTTATGTTGATATTCGCGCCATTTTGCACCAAGTCGTAGACCGTCCCGGTACGGCCGGATTTGGCGGCAATGTGCAGTGCCGAGAGACCGTGTGTACACACACTATCGATCGGCAGATTACATTTGAGAAGTGATTTCATAACATTGGGATCCTCGTTGCCCGCTGCCCAGTGTAAAATATTTTCATTGAAGTAATTTTGCAAGATGATGTCCGTCTTGTAAGAGAGGAACAATTGTATATCAGCGACATTTCCGTTACGTAGGATGAAATGGAAGGGCGTTGATCCATCGATATTCGGTTCGTTAATATCAGCACCATTGTCGAGGAGGAGCTTTAGTATGTCCTGTGGTATTTTCGATGTTTTGCCAATTATTGCCCAATGCAACGGCGTATTACCCTGAAAACGATCGATGCATATTTTAATTATAATTCTCCTTCGATTATATATTATCAGAGGAATTGTCGTAACAAACGTTACGACACAATTTTATAAATTATATGAGCGATATTCGATAATTCTAACCTCCATAGTTTTGGCTGTAATTTTCGCCCCATTTTCAAGCAGCAAAAGTATCTGTGCCACATTCTGATACGTAACGGCTTCGTGGAGCGGAGCAAATCCATTCATGTCCGCGACATTGACATTTACGCCTCTTAAGATAATGTCGCGTATTATGTCCAAGTTTTGCATGCAGATGCATTCGTGTAGAAGTGTCCGTCCATTGTTACTCTGGTGACTCATGTCCATTGCTCCGGCATTAAGCAGTAGCCGTACCATATTCTGGTCGCCGTTTTTCACGGCCAAACTCAAGGGCGTGTCGGATTTTCTGTGCAGGTCAACGTTGATGCCGTGGTCGATTAGCAACCGCGTGACTTCGTGATTGGCAAAGTTCACTGCCATATGAAGAGCCGTGCGACCGGCGTCGTCGAGCACGTTCAAACAGGCACCAAAGTCAATGAGAAGCTTCACGACCTCGTGATCACCGTTAATTGCCGCCAAATGCAACGCTGTGAATCCATCCCAGCTACGAATAATAAACAATTTGAATTATTATTTTCGTCTGGTGATATATATTCAAATATAGAAAATATATGCCGCAAAATTATCAACATTTTTTTTTTTGAATGGGGGATTGGTCGTAATAATAACCGTTAGTAGCTCAAGTAAGGCAATTTTATCGCTAATTTTATCACATATGATAATTTTATTTTCGACCGTCTCACTAAATTTACAGTGTTTTCTCTTTAGACTCGCGTATTTGTCGTCAAAAATATTAAGAAACACGTAACAAAACGACGAAAGGCACGAAAGAAAGTAGAAAAGAAAGAAAGAAAGAAAGAAAGAAAGAAATAATGTCAAACTCGTATAGAGAGAATAATAATAATATACAGTTAAAAGATTGAAATAAAGGAGAATGCGAAAGCGGTTGTACGTCATACCTTCTCATGTGCACGTCAGCGCCAAGCTCCAAAAGAGTCTTCACGATCCGTGAATTCGACAAAGCGGCTAACATAAGTGGACTATCACCAAAGTAATTCGTCTCGTTTATGTTTAAGCCAGCGTTCACCATTTGCCTGACGATGGTTTCATTGCCACTATGCGCCGCGATGAGCAGCAGATTGTTGTTATTTTGGTCGCGGTACTCGAGGATCGAAGTGTCTTGCAGTAACTCGTCCATTGATTGAACTTCACCACATCTTAGAAAATTGTATAGCTGGTCCAAGTTCGCCTTTTGATTAAAGATAACAAGTTACATTATATAATACATGAATAGTAAATATATTAATATATATATATATATAGTTTGATTAAATGAAAAATAGGTCGTTAGATTGTACGCTTTAGGTAATTATGAATTAAATTTGTTATTAATTCGACTTACCATACTTTGCACGATTAAAATCCCAGTTACTCGATAGTGTAAAGAAAATATACTTTAAATGCTGGAGAAAAGGATTTTAACTATCCTTGTTGACTCCACCAAGTCTAAATATACATTGGCTCGATATTTCTATGCTGTCCTTTAAATACTGTTCGGCAAGACCCTTACGCAGGTCAATTGCATTACCCCCACTCCAGGTCCTCGAATTTTTTTGTTTTTAATTTTACATAATATCTAGGTATTGGACAAGCGGTCGTCCGACATGTTTCTTAAAATTTAATGTTTCCAACTCAAGCTGATAGGAGCAATGTAGGAGCAGGATAGAAGCAATGCACGTCTATATAATTATGATATTTTTATAAATAAATATGCTCATAGATGAATATATTTCATAAAAAAATATATTATAAATTCAATTGTAAATAAATTAAAGCGTCCTCCTTAACAATGTATTTATTTATTTATTATAAACCAATATTTTTCTTTTTTTAACCATTTTTTATAAATAAATTATATACATATTTTAATCGACAATATATTGCTTAAACGAATCTATTAAGATTAATGAAAAGAAATTACAATAATTGTAAAATTAAAGTATAATGTTAAGAAATAATGTTTATATCCCAATTTTAAAAATTAATTTACAATATTATTTCGTTTTTATTTTATTTATCTTCTGACTAGAGATGCATTAAACAAGAACATAATATTTCTTATTACTACATCTTCACAATTATTCGAATAAAATCAACAATAAATGCTAATACCATAACAAAAAAAAAAAAAAAAAAAAAAAAAAAAAAAAAAAATACAATAAACGTACTAAACATGCAACATAGTACTTACATAAGATGTATTAACTTAAAATTAAATAAAAATAAATAAAAGTTGGCCTTAGCCGCGAACATTTTAAATTAGTTTGAAATCTTACGATTAATTCGTTGTTAATGTGTATGAAAATTTTTCTTTTTAACCATAAATACTTTCTTAATGCTATAAAAAAAAAATTTTTTAATATAAATGTACATTGTAAATATTAATATTTAATATAAAACGATATTCGAGAAAGTCGCAAGTGTAGTCGAAATTTAATACAAATTTAAAAATAAACAATAGACGGAGAAATACAAACATAATAGTTAATTTAGTTTTATAAATGTATAATAATAGTCAAACGTCGCTTACTACATGCGTTCTAAAAATGCCCAATTAATAATGTATTCCTTTAATAAATTAGGGATATGATTTAAAAAGCTAAGTGGGATTTAAAATATAGTTTCCAACACCTCGACCAGACGAAAAAATCTTACCATATCTTACAACGCACAACCCTGTATAAAATTAATAATCACTAATTATGGATTATAATTGGCAAGACGAAATTTCAAATCCAATTATTTCTCTTGTCCAATGAATAATATTTTTAAAAACATATAACATTAAAAAATCGTGTTGGAATTATTGACTGGAAAGAATAAAATTGATTTACATATTATTCTTACCGTTATAATTACATATACTATGGTTATTGTTATTATTTTTATTATTTGTGTTTCCTTCAACATTCTTTTAGTTTTGAAGTATACATAATTCTTAACTTGTCTTCTGTAGCTTAAAATGAAATGAGTTTTAGCCATTAAACCAAACTACAAAGATCACTTTGAATTGGAATTATTACATATATTCAAAAAAAAAAAAAAAAAATAAAAAAAAAAAGATAAGAATTATACATATTGGACAAGAAAAATAATTTCATATTCTTATTCAATAACATAATTACATCTTCCAACGATAAAAGGCTTACACAGCTCAAGAAATTATCGTCTCTCTCTCTCTCTCTCTCTCTCTCTCTCTAAATTTCTTGAGGTGATTAAATCCATGCATTGCATATAATAAGTATCGAATAGATTTGGTTAATAAGCCTATTTAACTAAAGCCCGCTTCCAATCTACATAATATTAAAATATTGTTCTACAAATAAAATAATATTCAGCGCTTGATTTTCAAGGACTAAATTAGCAAAGTTAAAACATCCGTTCAGAGTATCGTTCTTTTCATTCCCGTAGTGCATGACTTTAGCCGGCTAATGGCGACTACGTGGCGGTCGACAAGGGTCCATCTCGAATTCTCGTCACGAGCCAATCACCTCAAGAAAGTTGGAAAATGTATTTTAATTGGATTACTATTCGATGAACGCCTCCTTGAAACCCCACCCCCTTCCAAACATCCAATCGCCGACGTATTTACACGGCTTTGCTTCTGAGCCCGATCAGACAGCAAATTACAAAAGCGAGGGTCCAGCCGAGCGCGATGAGGAAACCGCTGTAGACCTCGATGTCAGTTATCGGGTAGCCTTTGGCCAGGATACTACGTAGTGAGATGCTCGGAATCGTCGTCGGTAGGCTGAAACTTAGGTAGCGAAGGTAGGTCGGCATACCCTCCGTCGGCCAAATCGTGCCTACGTAAATGAATAATCTTTTCATTGGATGTTTATGATAAGACGAATCTTAATAACGTGAATAGTTGTATTATCGTATAGCGAGGAATATTGTAAAGAAGTTGTGCAATTTATGGAAAAGAAACGGGAAAAATATAGAAAATTTCGAAAGAAAATTTTTAATGAATTTCATTATATTACGCAGGGTTATTGCTATTAACGCGATTATAATAAGAAAGCTACACGTTAATTATAATAAGATGAACAATATATAACTATAATAAAAATATAACGACAACAACGATAATAATATTAATAGGAAGAATATGTCTATTTATGTGAATATTTAATACATAATTTATAACATAAAATTATCAGTCAATTTTCTATTATTTTTATATGCATTTTATAATTATAGTGTATATAATATATATGTAATTCATTGTGTTACATATTAAATTTGGATAGTGTTGCACTAGAAAATCGCGAAAATCGCCCTATAATTTGCAATATTATAGTAATTAAATTGACAAGTAGGTATGCTGTATAACGAATTAATTAAAAGAGAAATAAAACCTCATACCACATAATAAAATGATGGGATAGAAGCTTCCGGTTGAAATGAAATTGGCCATTGTGTGATTCGTACATAAGACGGAAATGAGAAAACCTATGAAAATTATTATTATACTAAGCCTTTATTTAAATATAATAAATGATGAGAATATAAAATAATGCAAAACGCTTACCATAGCACATTCCGCATATTCCTGTGAGAAGCACTAAAACAATAACAGCGGTAATTGATCCTTTACAAGGCAGCTGAAATTGCAGGAAACTTATGCATAAGACCACAGTCACCTGAATAATGATCATCAAAAACTGTGTCAAGATATGAGAAAACAATATTTCCGCTGTTGCAACTCCTGAAAAAAAAAAAAAAAGAAAGTTTTTTATGCTATGAACTTTTTATATATATATATATATATATATATATATATATATGTATATTTCTTTGGCTTTATAGAAACTATATTTTCCTTACTTAAATTAACCTTTCACCAATTTTATAATTACCGTAATTTCACCACACAATAATACGAACCAACACCTGTACCCGGGCGCAGGTTTGTACTTGTACGTACATGATTACATAGGCACTCGCGCCCGCACAAATACAACCCCCCCCCCCCCCCCCGCCTCTCTACATGCATAACAATCCCTTTTGTAATTACCCTTAATTAAATATATAATATTTTTAGCTCTTATTGATAATGGGTAATTGGTATACGAATAAAGGTTTATTACACACTTCAATTAATTATAAATGAAGATGAAATTTTAAATTAATCCTGGAAAATGAAATTACATTACGATTTAATTGTATTTATCTGAAAAATTTATCAATAAGATTAAGTATTGTTTGAATGTTGGTATTCAGCTCGTATGAAATGTATATTATTAAAAAAAAAATTTTCAAACAGCTTAATAGAATATAAAGAAATAATTCAAATATTACGTGTTATATATATATATATATATATATATAATAATAATAATAATAATAATTCTTACATGCCAAAACTTGTGATTAAAAGATCTAAAAAGATAAAGGATAATTTGTTGGATTTTAGAGTTAGTTTTATTTGTCTGTGGAATACTAAAATAATCCTTTATAACAGCATTTGTGAAGTTAAAAAAGATATTGCGTAGTTACAAAAAAATACAATTTCTCAATTGTAATGCAGCGAACAATTAATGTTTTAAATAAGATTAGGAATATACATAATCCGAGCTTTACATAGCAAAACAATTTCTCTATTCATCCTATTCAAATAGATTTCAAAAAATTTCTTTCTCTTTAAATTTTCAGATATTAAATACACGATTGAAAAGACCGAGCTGAATTTTTCATAATATCTAAACATAATTCCAGGAACATTATAGTTAATTACGAAAGCTTTATAATTGTATATGATATCATTGTTTCAATTGCCAAATGCACCATACGATTACAGCCCAAAGCCCTTAGATTCGAACGTCCCGTTTCTACGAAGTGATTAACGCCACATTGTAAAATCGGCCGTTTATGAACATTTCTATTTATAAGCATTATTTTATCACCTTATAGCATATTTATGATTATAATTATGTACCTGTTATCTAGCAAAATTATTTTTCAAGTAAAACCATAAATACTAATAATTCCTCTTATAATTATCTGATATAAATAGAATTGTTTCATTATAACCAGTTGCATTTGGCATTATTAATACGACTTGAATAACAATAATTGGAACAACGCATTAAAAACATTAATAAGTAAAGAAATAAAATGTAATTTCATAATCATTTGGAAATGTCAAAAGTCTTATAAAATTAATTTTTTATGTTTAATTATTTTTGTATTGGATGTCAAAATAATGAACTATTTACAAATAAATTATGGAATATATAATAATGTAAAATGTGATATTCCGTTTGATTAAATTTTTATGATTATTAAGCTTCTTAAACATTATTGATAATATTTTAATAATTTCATTGTTAGTTTGGTAAATTGAACTTTATGAAAGCTTATTTGCCCCTTCGATCATACCACTAACGGTAAAATACAATACAATAAATGAAATTCGAAATTCAAAATGATAATCGTCATCAAATTTATTATTATAATTATTCAAGACTTTTCAAACTATACGAATGTCAAGAGTAGTGGTACCAACTTATTGAATATATTTATTTATTTATATTAATTTTTTTGTTATCTTATAACAATTATGCTTATAAAGATTTTTTTTTCATTCTAAGAAATTGATATAATTTTGATTTATTTTATACCAATAGATCGTTTAAGCTTGCTAAGCTTCATAAATATTTATGTGAATGTATTTTGCAATTGATTTTGTGCCTTCGGGTCTTAAATGTTATTAAATTTTCTTCATAAATAAAGAGTCTCAGTTTTCTTTATATATGCTTGACTATAAAATCAATGGTAGTCAAAATTTAGAAAATTGTTAATATAAAAACAAAATATAAAATAGTTATATTCCAGGATACAGTGACGTGCAGGTTCAATTGTGTATTGATAATGAGAAAGTAAATGAAATCAAGCAATTGTAAAATAATTTGTTGTAAATTACGACGCTTAACAGAGATTGGAAAAATCTAATTATTTATTTATTTATTTTTTTTTTCAAATTTATTAATATACCATATAATATTATTTTAAAAGCCTTATAAATTAACATATGCGTTATCACAATAAGTTTTTCTTAAATTTAGTTATAAAATATATTATTTGATAGAAACAATGATTTTAAAATAAAAAGTTTGCTTGAAAATTAAAATAATACTAAACGTAGAAAAGTACATGGTGTACTAAACACAAAAGTACATAATCATCCAAGTGATGATTACGAAAGTGACAAGCGTTTCAATAAATAAGTATCTCGAGTTAATGTCAGTTGTTATTTTACTAATTACTGTACATGTAATAAAATCAAATTAATTATCAAGTATATGATTGATACTATTATGTGACGTACATCGAAACTAAATCGAACATTAACACAAAAGACAGTTCAGTAAGGAAGGTAAAAATTATAATAAATTATATATATATATATATATATATATATATATATATGTATGTATGTATACATTTTTTTAATAAAAACTATAGAATCACAAATACTGGTTTGGCAATTTTATTTAATAACCATATGCAGTGGGAATATATAATTTCCCTAGTAATTTGGTATGAGATAGTGTTGTTCGCATTATTTGAATTGATAAATAATTATATACATCAGAAAATTAACACAATGCATAATAAAAACGAAAGACACATAATTGATATTATTTTTTACCTTGTACGAGACTTCGATCCCAAACACCTTCTGCGCGATCTGCAATAATAATGGAAGATGAAACAGCCGTCGCCAAAAAGAAAGCTATCCTATAAGAACAATTTTACATTTTAATTAATATAATAACAAAAATTAATATAATTTATCTATTTGTATATTTCTTAACTATTCTTACGTAATTATAAAGCCTGGAGCTACAAAATCTGTATACGTTTGATCCAACTTTCCAAATATTGGCTTTTCCAACTGCAAGTAATTTATTTTGGAAAATATTAACGATATAAAAGAGAGAATTTATGATTCTAATAAATAGATAGTAAACATACGACAAGCGGTAGATTTGAGAATTTTCTGGATATATTGCAATTGGATATTATATCTTCATGGATTCTTATGAAGCGTTCGTATAATGCCTTCTGTAGAAATAATCCAATCTGTCGATCTTTAAAAAAAAAATTTATTTTATATTATCATACTTTATTTTAATTATTCCTTTTACATATAATTTATGCGTATAATTCAATTCTTAAAAAAAAATATTGCTTCGTCCTTGTTACCTTTTACAATGAAACGTACCATTTTATGGAATAATAAAATTTTTCTCATGTTCTCCTTTAATAACAATCACAGTCAATCACATACCTTCAATTACAATCTATTGATAATATAAAAAATTCTTATCTATGATAATGAGAATTAAATACATCATCGTTTGATATTGTCTTTGAATATTCATAATTAAACAATGTGTATTAATTTACAAAAATAAAACTATAATGCATTAAAAAAAAATATACATTATTGTTTTAACAAGTAATGAAAATTTCAATTAGAATGAATTATTTTAAGGGAGCTATAATTCATTATTAATATACATTGATTTTTAAGTAAGTGAACTATTTATAATTCTATAATTTCTCTGCTCCTACTATATAAGATATAGAAGGTAAGAAGAGATTTGTTGTACGACAATTCACAGATATATATATATATATATGCATTTGAAAAGTAAAGCTAGAGGCTTACCACCCATGTCAAGTGTAATATGAATTTCTCCGGAGACAATTTCCTCTTCCGTCACTGTATTAAAATTGTCGCGTCTGCTTTGCAAAGCACGTGAAAAATTTTGCTCATAGTGCATCATTCCTGCGGCTTCTCCATGTTTTATCGAGAGTCTTGCTTCTTCTATCGTACTGAAGTATTTCTGAAATATTAGCAGGTTTTCTAATTGTGTAAATTTTACAAATGAATTAGCGGATAAAATATTTTATATTCAATTGAAAAGAGCCTATGTTTATACGACTGATTAGGATTACTTGTGATCTCTCGAATACATCATACGCTAAGTTTACATTATATTTAACTTTAACAACTTAATTAATTAATTTATTCCAAGTTTTAATAAATTTCTGCTAAATCGTATGATAATTTTCCTTTTCTTTTTTTCTTCGATGAAATATTCATTTAATAAGTCGTAGCTTGATTTTCAATTATTCATACAGAATTTACATTTTTCTTCATTTCTCAGTGCTTATGAATTATACAAGCAATTGGTTTCTCTTATAACAATTTCAATACCTTTTGCATAATGCTCTCGTTAAAGCCATGTAAAAATCGACAACTTATGTCTATGTAATCGCACGAGCCGTCATCTGGAGTATATATAATGGAGCCCAAATTTTTTCCGTAATTACAATGTCCGGCTTCGTCGTTTACCACGGCCATGACAACATCTTTAGGATCCAACCCGATCGAGTAGAAGAATAATGTCACCTGGACTATCGGGAAGACGAAAGCGAAGAGTATGCCTCTGCAAATGATTCGTATAAACATTTTATTATCAACTCTTTGCCCGAGAATTATGCTTATGAGCAATTTGTAATTATTATAATAAATCTTATTTTATTTAAGCACTATTTACATGCATAAAACCTGTTATATTCAGTCGTGTTAGATTCATTTGTTAAGGTGGTGAAACGTTATTTATAATAATATAATAATATAAAAGAGAGATAAGTGGTTGGGCTCTTTTTAATACTTACAAATAATTTTTAATATAAATATTACGAGATACTTACTAACATCCAAGAAATATTACAATAAATAATTGTTTACTGATTTATCCATGTGAAGTCATATGATATTTTACGAATAATCATAATAATATATATATATATATATATATTAGATTTTTATTGTGAAAAAATAAAAATTATTAACTTTATTTACCCAGGATCTCGTATAAATTGCAGAATGTTCTTTGTTAAAAGAGCCCGGAATATTTTTCCACAAATAGGTGAGCAAAAACGAGAATAGCTCTTTTCCGTATACTGACTGTCCAACAGCTGCTTCTCACTATGTACAATGCACTGGGAAAATTATAGTAAAAATTAAAAATGTAAGCTCAAAATAAATACAGTATGATTCCGAATTATGTATGTATATATATTGAGAGTTAAAATAAAAAATCAAAGATTAATAATTATATGCAAACATATCGTCGTTATACGTTAAAATTACTTAAAAAATATTGAGTAATAAAAAATTTTCAAGTCAGCATCTATTTTGCCCAATATGAATAGGATAGCGAAACCCATTTGTAATAAAATAAAGAGTATTTTATGTAAAAAAAAAAAAAAAAAAAAAAAAAAAAAAAAAAAAAAAAAAAAAAAACTTTATACGATTAACACGACTATCTTTTTCACGAAAATCTTCATCTTTTTTTTTTTATATGGTTTTGATTTTTCATTTTCATGTTTACATGGTTATGTCGACGCATCTTACGTTGGTACTCGCGCAAAGATCGTTTTGAGAAGTCGATACTGAGTTGGTAGTGACTTCATCTACATCCTCTACCGATCCATTTCCAATCTCCGGAACAGCTTTGTTTTGATTTTCCATCTGCTTCTGGCTAAGAACGAGGAAAGCTTCTTCGAGGGTCGTGCATTGAAATTTTGTTAGAAGTACATTCGGAGTCGTTTCCGCTAGTAATTGACCGCATCTCAGGAGACCAATCTGCGTCAAAATTTCACGATTTGACGAATAATATTATAATTAAGCATGGAATATTCATTTTCGTCGCTCGAGATTAATTGTATTGCGATAACCTCGTCGAGTTGCATTATTTTCATTGTAAAAACGAGAGTCTTTAATTTATGCGTAAATGAAAAAATTCCTCTTTTTCAAGTTTATAATGAAAATATAAAATAATCGACGTAGAAATAAAGTAGCATAACTTAATAAAATAGCAATAGGAGATTATTCTCCAAAATCGAATTCATATTTATAATTTTCGTATTGAGCTGAAAAATGTTGTTAAATTGAAAATTGTATTTGCATTCGTTAAGCTATCGTTCATTGTTTGTATAATTTGTATCGCTAATACTCAGCTTCATAAAAGACATTGATTGTACATCGAGAACAAACTAGCCGTATAGGTTGAGAGATTTAAATTTTAAAATCAGTATTTTAACATTAAAATACCGCTTTTTCAGAGAAAATGACATATTAAAAATTTATGATGCATTATAAACATACTCTATTGGCAAGTTTAGCTTCTTCGATGTAATGTGTAGTAATAACAACGGCAGTTCCTTCTTCTTTTGTTATTTTCACGAGGAAATCCCAAATTCTAAAAATAAGCAATAACATTATTAAGCACAGTATTAAAAAATACTTATAAATCAAATGTTGTTTAAATTTATACTCCCGATGCGAATTGATTGAAAGTGCGCATACAATAATATTATACTACTTTAATAGCACTTTCGTTATATCCATGAATAATGGAGGAGCAATGGAATAACGAAGATACGTAACTTATATATTTAAACGGGATTTAACTGCCCAATGAAATAAATCTACATTCAAAATGTCAAATTATAAGAGCATTTCTCTATGCTCTTTAAAAACAGTTTAATAATCTGAGTTTTTGTTTGTTTCGTTTTTGTTTCGTTTTTGTTTGTTTTGTTTTGTTTTGTTTTGTTTTTGTTTTTGTTTTTTTTTATTTTTTCTTGTTCTTACAATATCGATCAACCGTTGTTTAACATTAACTTAATCATCGGGCTGCAACCACATGAACCATATTTGATGATCGGTATTTTATTCAATATCAACGGTTACTCGATTACTCTAAGAGAAATAAAAGTTTCATCGCCAGAGTATTATGGTAAAAGTGCACTTGCTTTTCGCGCAAAATCGGATCCAATCCGACGGTCGGCTCATCGAGGATTAAGAGTTCCGGTTTATGGATGAGCGCGGCGGCGAATGAAACACGTCGCTGTTGTCCGCCACTCAAATGTTTCACCAGCCGGTCCCTCGGTGGCAGATTCAGCAGTTCCGAAAAGAATGCGAATCTGTCGTCTGCGGAACACACGAGATGAATCACGCACTCGATCTCAAAAGGATTAGTGTTTTATTATTTTTATTTTTTATTCGATATATTCTCGCTCCCTCGCATCTTTGTCTGACCGGTTAAGCGCTTCAAATTAATATTCACTTGGAAGCTAATTTCCCATCATTCCATCGGCTCGATGCTTTATTCTATTTTATTCGGTTTATAATTGAAGGAGCTACGTGGTCGAGTAATAACTAATCGGCTACTCGATAAATTAAAATTAATTTCACTAGGACATAATGAGAGTTTATTAATTATTTACATGACGCCGTTTTCACTTGATAGAGTGTGCGTGTAAAAGAGAAAGAGAAAGAGAAAGAGAGAGAGAGAGAGAGAGAGAGAGAGAGAGAGAGAGAGTGAGAGAGAGAGAGAGTGTAGCAAAGAAATTTCACTCAAATAAATTCGCTTTATTAATATGCGAATAAGGCCAGATCCTGAAGCCAATGTTTGTTACAAAGATATATTAATTAATAATCCATGATATTTCTGAAAATCAACGCACTTTTGCAACCATCATTTAATTATTAATTATACATTGATTATGTAATACAGTTAAAGGATCGATTAAATAAAATACTGGACAAGTAGTTTAAGTAAACGTTACTAAAACAAATCATGTCAGGATATAAAATGTTTGACATATACGTGCCTACATTAAACAACCTATAGTAGGATTTTTCTCAAATCAATCATTTATTAATGGCACTTTTAAATTTAGGACTATATTTTTTACAACAAAGCTCATATCATAAAGAATATATAATTTATTAAAAGAAAATTATGTTAAATATATGTATATTTTTCGATCGAATTACAAATCTTTCCTAGAATGCACAGTCATCAAGTATAAAGACGAAGATTACATTATATTAAGAAAGAAGCAATGTTTGTTTGTTTAAAGATAGGAAGACTTGCTTATTAATTTGGTTTTTTTTTTTTTTTTTTTTTTTTTTTTGTAGGAATAATTAAGCACTCAACGAGTAAATAGACAAAGCACTTAACCGCGAATCGACATCGTAAGTTAAGTAGCTTGCAGGGTTATGTGTTTCTTAATAATAAAGCCAGATGAAACAGACCTATAATATTATCCTCGAGGCCATTGATCCTTCCGAAATAATAGAGCGCCCCGATGACCGAAAACTCTTTCACCAATGATATCTCCTGGGGCATGTATCCAACACGCGGCCCAGGAATTCCCGAGTTCGTCTGTCCGGGTTTACCCCCTAGAACCCAAATTTCGCCGTGATCGAGTTTTCGGATGCCCACTACACAGGAGAGCAAAGTTGTTTTACCACATCCGCTGGCTCCTAGTAATCCGTAGCTGAAACCATTTTAAATTGTCATTTAAAATTATAATAATTTTCATAGACTATATTTGTCACTTCGCTTAATTTATTCATATAAATATAATTATTTTTGAGTTTGCTTTGCCATCGACCATTAACGTTTATGCGTAGTAATTTTATTTCCCGCATGCTTTTTTCATGTCTTAAAATTTAATTATGATTATTGCAATTATTAACATCGAAAAAGTCATTTTCAATACCTGCCAACTTTTATAATTTAATTAATTTTAATTCAATGCATATTGATTTTTAATTTCTGAATCTATTCTTTTTTAATATACTTTTAATTATGGATCTTGTTCATAAATTACATAATATATATATATATATATATATATATATATATATATATATATTTGTATATCGAACGTTACTAGTAAACAATTATGAATTGTATTATTTAAATTGTATATGGCTTTGTATAAATCTAAAATTAACTCGATTTTCTTATAGCTTTATAAATTTATAATGAAAAATATGAATTGTATTATCGTTCATGTGTAGAACTCTAGTTTTGCAGTAAATTAGTTTCCTTTTGCTTTTAAAGCTTGAGAATTCTATTTGTTTTTACTTATCTTTAAAATTTTTGTTTTAGAACTTAAATTAGAAATTTAAACTTACGATAAATGATAAAAATCTAACAACATCGATATTATTAATTTTCACGTTTTAGTAATTATTTGCAAATTATTGTAAGATATTCAAACTAGTTATTTCACAATTATCTGACAATAATATATTATATTATATTATAGTACACATAAAGTATAATTGCAGGACAGAAAATAATAGTAATTTTACAAAGCATTATTAATTTCATAGAAACTTAATATTGTAATTTTTAATATCTTTGCAAATTATCCACTTTACGTATAATAAATATTTTATTGGAATCGATTGAATAACAGATGCATGAGAAAAATAATGTATGGCAATAACAGTTATGTTTAAGATAATTATTTACTAATGTTAAAAAAATAATATTAAATTCTATTATAAAATCTCAGTAAATTTTAATAAAGATACTTTCACATCTAAACTGCCAATAAGTCTTTGAATTTAAATTATATTTAAAAATTAAAAAATCACCTTTATAATTTATTCAAATTTTCATAGGATTTATTTAAAAGTCATCAAATGTATAACAAGACTTTTATTACTATTTTATTACCACTATATACTATATAAAAGAAGAAATACTCGGAACAATCAATGGCAAATGTCAATTTTTTTTTTTCCGTCCCGTCGAATCCCATAAGAAAACGTTCATCTTTAACTGCTGTACATACATATTGTGTTATCACAAATAAAATTGCAACGTGCATAATTTTTAAGTATCTAATAATATTTATGTGAATTGTTTGGCAAGTATATTATTTTAATAATATCAATTTGTTGCCGAAGCCGGCTACAAAATCGATTGAATTTATAATTTTAAATTATTCAGTTATGACACATGGGAATATTACGATTTACTTTAAAGTATGTCTTCTTAGTATTTGTTGCAATATATATTGAAAATGTTGCAATTGCATATCTATATAAATATATATATATATATATATATATATATATATATATGCAAATGTATTTTATGCTCGATATTTTTTTTTATGATGTAGATAACTAAATCACGTTTGGAATTGCAACGAAGTACCGCCAAGCTCGCTAAGCTAAGTGCTAAGATAGGTTATAAAGGTTATCCTCGGTATGTGTCAACACAACGCGAAAAAACGCATGACCGACTATCCCAGTATCCTTGGAATCCTTCGACACAGCTTATCAGCTCCTCTCTACCATCGTTGCTCAACGTGGCCGAAGGAAACGTAGCTGCAAGCTATGTACCGAGCAGAGCTTCAAGGCGCTTACCCCACCACCCCCACCCCAAATCCCCCATCTAACTCCTCGAGCGACGTTCAACCCTGAACCCTATCGTCCCACCAACCGCCACTTATGTCCTTAAGCACCAAGTTGCCCGCATTGTTGGTCAATACCTTTGTTTGATGTCCTTTAATGCAGCGGCATTAAATTCAAGCTTTTGTCTCGATTTTAGTTTTTTGCTCTAATTTCTAACGTGAAAGTAGCTGAATAGTGATTTCGGCATTAATTACATTGGCATAAAAATAGTCACTAAATTCTTTATTTTATTGAATATGGATAAATAGAATATGGATTTCAGATTTTTCTATCCGTTTACACGATACCAACGAATTATGTCGCCAACTAGAAAGTACCTCTATAGAATTGTGTCTAATATACGAAGGATTACATAGAATGTAATTGACAGGATCTATGTCGGGAATAATCGTGAAAATGAAAATTAACGACACGTTAAAGAATGTAAATCATTAATTAGTTAATTAACATCGATTGTTCTACGCAAATTATACTACGATTTATATTTTACTTTTACATTTTTTTTTTTTTTTTTTTTACTTACTAATTTGAAACATAATCAAAACTTTTTTAACGCTATTATGATAAAAATGTACAAATTGTTAATATCAAGGTAATAAAAATCTTATAAAATGTTAACAATTATATCTTGACAATAATCATAGTGTTTAGTTGATGTTAATTTAAAACATGAATAAATGTTGATAAATTAATTATGTTTGTGCCTAATGGTTATTATTCTTGTAGGAAAATTAATCAAATTTTATAGCATTTATATAACAGTATTAACGCATCACTATTAATTTCACGATGAATATAAATATCATTGTTTTATAAAGACTTTTTTTGCGATTAATGAAATATCATTTTAATGCGTAGTTATCAAGCAACATAGCGCGCAAACTCGTTAAATAAATTTCAATTTCTCATGTTCATTATGCTTTCTATCAATAGAATTGGCATAACGATGCCATATGGATTACGTAAAAATAATTTTCCATTAAAATTAAAATCATAAAATATATCATAATGTATCCATATGATAATTTGAATTCTTTATTGGCGGTAATAAGGGCTAGGAAAAAAATGCTTTATAAATTATTCATACATTTAATTGCATTTAATATAAAGAATGGAAACTCACATAGAACCCCGTGGAACCGTCATGTTCAATCCATCGAGGATAGGCTTCTGGCTCTTCGAGTAGCGCTTGTGTGCATATCTCACGACGACTGCGTCTTGCGACATATCGATGGATTTTTTTTCCTCCTCAGTAAATAGCAGATCTGCGATTATAAAACAACATTAGATGTTAAATCTCATCCCTAAAGTGAGCTTTAAATTATTATCGATCCAACTGCACGTCCAACAATAGTACCTTGTCTTATAAGATAAATGGAATTCAATGTCTAAATGCGCTATACAAAACGAAATACAAACGAAATACAAACGAAATACAAACGAAGAACAAAAAAAAAAAAAAAAAGAATCTATTTCACAATATACAAAGTTTATTAATAACTAATTGTAACGTTTGTATTATGTCTCGATATTTTGTTCTGTCAAATGCTCACTTCAAATTTAACGGAGTGACAATGATCGGAATTTATGCACTCGCGCCAACGATCGAAAAGTCATACTCGACATTTTAAAGCTGAATAAGGAGTATGGATTTACGTCATGATTTTAAAATACGTAATGAGAGAAAATGTGAAACATTGGCTTACATAGTCAAATAAAGCCAAGATCTCCTTTAATGCATGAGAGGTACGTTAGAATAAGCCAACAATGATTTATTATGAGAATATATCGGGGAAGTCTAGAAATTGACAAGCATGTGTATCATTAAGCCTACGAGAATACATCCTTAAAGAACTATTTATATTTTTAATTTAATGTTGAAAATATATTCTTGTTCATCTAATTTAGACAAAAAGTAATATCGGTAAGAATTTTGCTTTCCTATTAAAAAGGTTAATTAATTAACTTTTAATGGAAGCTGCTGTATTAACATTTTTATTTTTTTGAAATATACGTTATTAATGTTGATGATATATTAAACAGAGCAAGCAGCTCGATTACATTTCAGAAAATTAAAATTTTATCATTTTCAGATTTATCAGCTATTAATGTAATCATACTCCATTGAATAATAATTTTAACAACAACGGATTAATCACATTCAAAATATTTTATAATAATGCATTATTAAACATACAGATTGTACATTTAAATTATTCTCTTTCATGAGCTTCGCAATCTTGAAAACTTCTATAATCTAACAAAGTCTGTACAATAAAACTTTTTCTTATTCTTTTTTCTTTAATGTAATTTCTAATTATCATAAAGTATAAATTATTATTAGCATAAGTTATTAGACTCGATAAAACTGTATAATTAAATTGTCAGCACGTCGGAATATTCTTTCAACCTCAATAATACAATAATAAAGATTTTGAAGTTATACTATTTCGTTATATATTTTACTCTAAATGTAGGAGTTACGCGAGATTCTTGAACTGTAAAAGTTGGAACTATTGGATTAATAAGTGATGAAATAATTTATCGAGAATTAAGGATTTTAGTCGATATCAAAGCAAACGTGAAAACGTATATACTTAACTTTTGTAAGTTTTGTGTTACGTTTTGTGTCTACATCGCCATTTCTAACAAAATTAGGAAATGAACTGATTCTATAAGTATAAAGTGCTTTTTCTCCATGTTTAATTTTTCTCGCATATTTTCATCGATTTTTAATATTGTAAAATGTCCAAAAATCCAAATATAGACATTCGTTTAAATTTAGTAAATGTATGAAAGTGTTGCTAACTATCATTTAGCAGATTTCATTATCTTCTTTATACAATTTTATGAAATTAAATTCAATAATTTTATTTACAAAAATTTTTAAGTTTTTAAATAAGATTTTTACAAACGCTGATCTATAACTTTTTAAAAATAATCGTGTCCTTTTAATATACTAAATTTATTTAAATCAAATACATTCTAAGAAATATTACTGACACAAAATAAATTTATTTTCATTTTTAGCAAAAAATGATTCATTAAATGTACGTACGTCGCATACGTATTAATGTAAATATATGCGAATGTGTATGTATACATAAATTTTTCCATATATTAATGTGTAATACTCGTAAATATATTCATAAATATAAAGTTTGAAAATTTATAACAATATCATTCTTTTATAACACAATATAGTTTATTTTCAATTGAATCTATTTAGCTTATAAAGTCTGGCATCTCTTATTTTATCATTGTTAATCTCTCAATTTAATGTCGTGTCCTAAATTACCTAGTTATATATGATTATCAATGAAATTAAATAGTAGTACTTAATATCTCGTTAAGGTATCCAAATATTTAAATTATTAGAATAATTAAAATAAATTTTGCATATGCTAAAGGAAATCGTTTTCAAACGTATTGAATTAATACGATTACATATATGCATGTGCATGTGCATGTTTGTACATTAATCTTTTTTCCAATAATTAATAATATATACATTTACATTCATTTTATTGTTTAATATACTATAATATATGGATAAAGAAATATATAAATAATAGACATAAAGATAAACATTCATAAAGATGAAAGATGTTTTATTTTGTAACGAATTTCCTCGACTATAAAGACAATGTTTACAGCTACATTGTGACATTAGTATCTCAATTATTCAGCAAAAATGTTTTATGAAAATTCAATAATGATTTTCTTCATTTAGTACTGAGCGTTAAGTTATATTTTATAAAAAATATAAATGTTAAAATTCTATTTAAAACCGTACGCGTTTTTTCCTTATTTCTTCTTATGCTTCATATTTATTTATGCTTTATTTATGCTTTATTCATATTTATGCTTCATATTCATGAAATATTCACTTTCTCCAAATGATGAAATCTTAATTGACTTTTTAAAAATCTAATAAAAAGTTGACTTATTCTAAAAATGATACATTTTGTTGATTATATGATTTTAATGTACATTTCAATATTGAAGATGAAATAATAAATTTAATGTGCTCGCGTTTATTATACATATTATTGTTATTTATTTGCGATTAAAATTTATTTAAAAATTCATATATTATAACGAGCAATAGAAAGATAATTTAACAATATAAACTCATAATATTATAATTTATGAATTGCATTTAATTATATATATTTTACCTACCATTTCGTCTTAGTGATTGATATAAAGAATTTGAGATTGAAAGAAGGATAAAGGAAATAAATGAAAAAAGGGCAAGGGATCATCACATCACAAAAGGATAAGTATAAAACGAAGATTAGGAAACCATCATAATTTTATAGTTGACTATTTATGTTTTATCTCATATAAATGCAAGTAAGTAAGGTGGTTGAATTTCTAATAAAATGGAAACATCGTTATATGGGTTTATGACATCCAAACATGGAGTAACTCTTTGTCCGATACAAAAGCAATGCAACAATACTTTACAATATAACATACATTAAACGATCATGGCATTATAAATCAAATAATACATTCGGATGCCTTGAGAATCCCTGAGAAAACTGTACGAAGAAGTATAATATTAACAACAGAAATTGTAGTATTCACAACGAATTATTTATAATTAAAGCAAGGCGGTCTATTACAAAGCTCAAGTAATGCCGTAAAATTATATAATATATGATTTACATAATATTTCGAACAATTGTAATAAAGATAAATAAATAAAATTATATTAACTATAAACAAAATTAGATGAATTATTGTTAATTAAGTATAAGCAAAATCTTGTCAACTTACGAACTATATGAATTAGTGTTTTATCTTTAAATAGGCAAATATATTTTTAGATAAAAATCGATATTTGCAGGCAAAGCACGCGTAGTTCTCATTCACGCAGTGCTGTTTAAAAATAGAAATGGTTTGATTAAAAATAAAGACGCATAAATTGGCATGTGGTTATAAAAAGATTATTATATTTTAATTCATTTATGTTGAAGTCGCCGGTGACGAACGATAGTAATTTAAATTTGTAGGCTCGAATGACACAATGCAACGTTACATATATTAAATTAACTTTTCGCTTTTCATAGAGAATAGAACGAATGATTTCCTGAAAATAAACTTTTAAAAATATTAGAATCATCATTTAAATAGATTTTTTTTTTTTTTTAAATTTCATTAATTTCATGGCCATTTACTTTATGTATTGAAACACTTTTTATGAAGTTATGTTTCGTTCTTAATAATAAAAAAAAGTGAAAAAATTTGAATATTGTGAGTTTTATAATTAAAATGTTCCATTGAAAATGTCTGCTATTATAATTATTATTTCATAATATTTAAGTAAAAATAGAAATCTACAAGAATAAATTTATTTCATAATAGAGCTTGTAAATTTCTAAATTAAAAGAAAAAAAAAATTCCTATCCTCCTGTAATCTAAAGTATCTATCATATAAGATATGATTAAGAAATATTTAAGAAAATTTTAATTATTTCTCTCTGTTTAATTAAGTAATTATTGCATTTTCTAATAGAAGGATGACATATTAGATGAATAATACTGATTTTTCTGTATTATTCATAACAACGATAGTTTTTAGAAAAACTGTTGAATTGCAGAAAAGCCAGTTCTTCTGGAAATGGTGGATCTGATCGTTTCGGGGCATAAGTACAAAGGGGGAAAAAAAAAAAAAAAAAAAAAAAAAAAAAAAAGTAAGAAACTGACCAAAGAACTAATTAGAACGAGAATTGTCTAACTAAGAAACATACTTTAAAATAGTTAATTCATATTAATCGTTAAACTTAATCTATAGCCAATAGTTCTATATCAAATTATTATTAGTTCGGGTTAAGTGAAATACTATAAAAAAAAAGTCATAATAGAAATTGCATCAGTTGATTGATTTATTTAAAAATTTGTTTAAACCTAATAATACAACATTCATTATAACTCGTTAAAAAAAAAAAAAAAAAAAACTCAGTTAAGAATATTATAAAGTATCTGTAAGTTCTAATATAAAAAGAGAATTTTAGATAATAAATACTGTACAGATTATTAAAAAATTAATCAAAAATCTATTAGCACGAGTAAACTTTTCGAAAATATTATATTACAGATAAAATTTAGAATAAATTATGTGCATACATGTAAGAACAATACAGTATAAACTAAAGAATCTTGTAATATAATTCTACTTGTTAAGGTTATAAAATTGTATTTTATCACATATCAATTAATAATATATTTGTTTTTAATAAGAATTTAATTCATA